AATTTAAACTCAAGTGTGCATTAGATTAAACTGATATGTGCGGGAAAAAAGTGCAAAAATAACATCACATCGTACTTTTTATATTGCACATTTCAGCTTCACCTAGTGCACATTTCAATTTCACGTAATGCACAATTCAACTGCACATAATGCCACTCTATCGTACCCTTTGTGATGCACATTTCAATTTCACCTAATGCACATTACACTTTCATCTAATGCACACTGAATTTCACTTGAAACAAATCTAACGGTCCAGATTCGTTCTCATTTTTCTCATAAGATCGTGTTCTTATTTGAACCAAAACCTATATATATATATATATTAATAGCTTTCGCGGTAAATATCAGATTTGGACTGGAGAAAGAAGAGAAGTCAGGTGGCTTTTTCTAGAATTACCAATAAGAGAGACTGTTACTGTAAGATCATATAAAAGTCGGATTATTCGTATCGATTTTTCCAAGAATTTATGTGATCACTTCTATTATTTTAGGAAAATATTATGTCGTTGATGCAGATTCATGTTGAAGAGTTACTGTATAACACCGTATCATGGAAACCGTTATCACTTGAAGGACTACTCCCTCGTCGCAACACATCATGTATTTTAGTGTAAATAACGTTACTTTATAGTGTACTCCCTCCGTCCCAAAAACAAACTCCCACTTTCCTTAAATGGACGTCCCAAAATTAACTTCCCATTTCTATTTTAGGAAAGTTTTTAAAGGCAAAAACTCATAAATGCCCTCCTCATATCCCTCCTTCCTCTGCCTATTATGCGCCCCATTTACTCCGACCCCTCCTTTCAACCCCACGCAATTATCTCTCTCTGTCTTCTGTCAAGAACCTTCTTCACCTCTCCACTCTCCCCCCTTTTCATCCATGGAGAAGACAAACATCATTGTCCTCCCTCAAATTCTCCCGCGGGATGATGAAACCCTGGGTCCTGAATCAAATCGCCGTGATGTTGAAACCCTAGATCTGAAGAACCATGTCGCGCTTCCAGAATCAAACCTCGGTGATGATGAAACCCTAGATCGAAACATGCATGCCGCGCTTCCTTCTGTCATTGACAGCTTCCCTACAAACCCGAATTCCCCTGCCGCTATGGTGAACAAACCCTCAGCAGAAGCTATTTCAGACGAGGAAGGTGTAGAGTCTGACCAACGAGGGTGGACCTCGGAAACCGACTCTGGATGGGCCATACGGAAGAAGTGGGGGTCTGACTGCGTGGAGGACACTTACGAAGGCTTTCCAGCTTCAGATGACGAAGGGGAGGAGGAGGTGAACTCGGAACCTCGATGGTATCCAGAGGAGTTAGACCACCTCTTTGGCCATTGTCGTAAAAGGCCGTGGATGCCTTGGGGGACTGATTCCTCATAGGGGAGGCTTCTAATCTCTTCTGTTTTACTATATGCTCCTGTCTTTTGTAATGTTCAAGTTGCAGAACTGATTGTGTTTGCTTATTGAATGAAGTTTGTTTATTGAGCTTGTGATGCCCCTCTATTTTGTAAACTGAATGTGTTTGTTTATTGAAGTTGTCATGCCCCTCTATTGTGTAAACTCAATGTGTTCGTTTATTGAACTTGTGTGCCTAAATCTAGTACTCTGTGTATCTTGACTGATGATGATGGGGGCTTTGTATGATCTAAACATTGTGAAGACAGTTTGTGAATTTATGGATATTTGGCTTATTCTCTCCTTGTGTCACCCACTTGTACAAAGTGTTGGAGACCATTTAGGGAAGTCTGTGCACAAGCAATTGATGTTTTTGTGTAGCATATGATTTGGGCTTACTGAATAAAGTCTCACTGCACATAGGGTGGTTTTTGGGTGTGTATTGTCAAACACTTGTAAATTTTCAACCTTTGTGTGCTCAGATGGATTGATAATGCAAAACATTAAATGTTTCTTCTACATTTGAATCAATGTGGCCATACATTTAATACTTGTATGCCAAGAATGTAAGAAACTACAAAAATAGTGTACTATGGGCACATATGCCAGTACATACAAAAACTGTACCCCATCTCTATAAGGGAAGTACATACAAAAAAGATTACCCTCCATGTGCCTGAGTTCATTGTTGAAGATCTACTTGATCTTCACTTATGAACTCACTTCCATGGCCCTGATGTCATGCTTCTGCCTCAAGTGTTTGCATCTCTATGAGTGCTTGTTTTGCTTCATTCATTATGGCATGGCTTGTTTCCACATTTTTGGGTAGCAACCCCTGTCTTTCAAGTTTTTCCTTTCCAACATGCCTCAGCTTGAAGTTGTTCCCCCCTTTGTGCTTTAGTATGTCCTCCATAACATACTGAAGGCTGAGGAATACCTTGTTTAATGTGCTGGGTGTGAGAATATCAAATGCTAATGTCACAGCTTCTACTAATTGGGAAATTGACTTAGGGGCTTGTTGTTCCTTTAATGAGTCAATGGCCCTAAAGAAACCCAAGTCAAGCACATTTAGGTCTGGACTGTTAGGGGGCTGACACTTTAACTGTATGTCCCAACCATCTTCACTTGCACATGTGAGAAAATCTTCATCTGTCATAAGCACATGAGGCGTTGCATTGTCTTGCTGAATGATTACTTTTTTGTTCACTCTGTCTGGCCATTTCCTTTTGATGGCAGGCAGAACTTGCTGCAACAACATGTCTCTGATTACAGGCCTTGTCACATTTAGTATAGGCTTTGTCTCTAGTGTGCCTGCTGGCCTATTCTTACTTGATCTCTTAGCCTTCTCTTCAAATGTGAAAGGAAATATACCTATTTTCCCATCCCATATGACATCCCCTGCATCCCCAAACCTTGGTCTACCCACAACAGTTAAAAACATTATTTTGGGTATGAATTTCTTGGACTGGACAGATCTATATGGATCTTCTTCACTATGGTGAGTGTAAAAGTTGGTTGTTTCCTTAGATAAGAAAAACCACTTTTCATCAATGTGAACATGGTCATAAAAATCATGAAAAGTGGGATTTCTTGGGGGGTTATGACTTATCAAGTGGCCTAAACAAAACTCTAACCTTTTAATCTTGCCTGCCTCTTTCAATAAAGGTTTGATTGCATTTGAGTGCCTTTTGATTTGCTTAGCTTTCACTAGTTTGTGCACGGTTGACTTTGAAACTTGCATGGCAAAACCTAAAGACCTGATGTTCTTTCTCTTGTGCAGTGGGATTTCCTTTATGTTCTCCAAGTCAACTGCTACCCTTTTTCTGCCTACATTTCCCTTTTGTAGGCTTTGAACATTAATGGCTAAACCTTGGTCCATTTGTTGCTTTGCTCTTTTCCACAACTCACGAACTGCCCATCTTGAAATGTTGAACTGTGATGCTGTACTTTTTACAATACCCCACTGAAGTCGCCCCTCATTGTAGTTTACTAAGAGAATTTCAACAATCCGTCTCCGCTCTGCATTTGTTAACTTCTTCCTTTTGTTGGTTGGTGCAGGAGCATTTAAAGTCATGGAAACCTGTGCCTGGGTTGCTGTGTTGTTGTGGTTGGCATGAGGAGTTGCAGGAACTTGAGGGTCTTCAATGCTCATTTTGTTCTTGTTGTGAAAGAGTAAATGAGAGTAAATGAAGAAAGATAGGGTAGATATAAATAGAGTGTAATGGGAGGGAAGTTTAAATTATTTGGCCAAAATGTTGGAGGGAGTTTTTTTGTGGTTGAAAGTCTTTAGCAAAGATCAGATTGTGTAGCAAAGATGGTTTAAAAGTCTTCCCAGTAATACGGAGGAGTATTAGATGTGATATGTAATGAGTGTTATTGAAATGACTTGTTGTGATATTTAATTTTTTCACCCCAGTACTGTTCATTACCCCCCTTCCTTTTATTTGCTCTGGCCGCAGCCCTCAAGGCTAATTTTGGAAAGTCAAAGGCAAAATTTAATCTACCTTAAATTGTGTAAAAGTCAAAATGGGAGTTTGTTTTTGGGACGGAGGGAGTATATACCAGTTAAAATTTGGTGAATTTAAGTGAAAACACTTCATTCACTAACACTCCACTTCTTTACTCTTTCCAAACATGGTTAGTTTATACTTAACACTTACACTTACATTCCCTTCTACTCCCCTGCCAACACTTACTAACACTTCATAACACCCTTTCCAAACAGAGTGTTAGTTACCATCTCCCACCACAGTGAGTCAGTGTCTGTGTCTAGTGTTTCATATCCAATAACTTCTTCGACTGGTTAATCACGATGAGCCACAAACTTGTTAGTTACCACTGCAACGCTAGTTTTCTGCACCACCACAAACCCTATTTTTTCATTCTCGTCGCTGAATCACAACTCTTGTCGATGCCAGTATTGGATTTTTTCGTAGTGGCAAAAAACGTTCACTTATTTATGAAAATGTCACATCGATTTTACCAAAATATGACGCATCGTTGACACTTTTAGAGCCATCAAATTTCAAATCGAACGCACAAAAGTTTTCACATTTTCACATTAAGGTTTCTTTTTATTAGCTCCATAATCCTATTAAGTCACTCTTAATCACATATTTGTCAAGCAATATAAATAGTCATGTTTATGTGTAGAGAAACATCACTCCCAAGGGTGTTTGAAATTTACTATATTTCTGCTTCTTTTTATAAATAGAAGTAGAATCATAATAAAATTTTTAATATAAGTTTTTACGAGCAATTTGAAACATTTTTGAAAACTTATGTACTTTAATCTAAACACTGTGATATACGTACTATATGTCTACTAATTGAATAAGCCCAAACACTAGGAGCCTGGATTGTAACACCGAAATTGGATGGAGTGGTTAATTCAACTGAAGTTTATGAAGTTCTGGCTAAAGTGAACATATGGAATAATTTTGCTGATTTATAAATAAATTATATTAAAATTATATTTTATTAATAAAATAAAAAAAATATTAAAAATAACTAAAATGGTTAGAAAAGTAACCACGATCTTAGTGTTTCTTATTATTACATACTACGTACTGCGTAATAATTTAATGCACGAAATCAAAGTTATGGATCAATGCAATTCATTCGGGTTGGAATAAGTTGGATGATTGAGTTGTACACTTGTACTCCAGCGTATATCATCAACCCGAAATGTCATGCCAAAAAAGAACCTTGAACACCGCGAGATCTGTCATTCGAATACCGTGATCCGAAGTGATCAATGATTGCACATGGATCATTTTTCCGCCATCTCCATTCGTTGCTCAAATCTGGTGAAAAAGTTGATGTTACTGTACTGTAATTCGTGAAGGTTGTTTCAGACAAAGGAGTTGGGGGCGAAAGATGCCAAGCGTCGGTGTGAAGCTTTATAGTGTATTCTTCAAATTCATGCTGAAGCATCGGTTGCAGAATCGAATTCAAAACCAGGTTACAGACGGACCCGATGGCAGCCGCACCGCCGCATTTGGAGTCACTTCTCGGCCAGAGGAAGAGTCCATCGCCGCCGCTAGTCCCGTCTTTACGGATGGAGTGGCCACAAAAGATATACACATTGATCCGTTAACTTCTCTGTCCATTCGAATCTTCCTTCCCCAAACCTGCCTTGATTTCCCTGATTCCGATTTCAGACTTCAAGCTAAATCCAAGGTTAGGGTTACCGTGAGCAAGTCAGAGTCCGTTCCCGGATCCGATCCCAATCAAACACTTATTCGCCGAAGTAGCTACGGCTCTCCGGCCACTAACAATAGATCCATTTCTCGAACGGAGAGTGTTAATCAGAGTTTTAATTACAATAATCACCCGAGAAGTAGTCACGGATGCAGTGCAGATGATCTCAGTTTGGCATCCACTAACGGGGTTTACAGAGGCTACTCACCTGCCAGTAAAAACTGCCGGAAGTTGCCGGTGATATTGCAATTCCACGGCGGCGGTTTTGTGACGGGAAGCAAGGATACTGTGGCGAACGATATCTTCTGTAGAAGGATCGCCAAGCTGTGTGATGTGATTGTGTTGGCCGTTGGGTACAGGTTAGCTCCAGAGAATCGATTTCCTGCAGCTTTCGAAGATGGGTTGAAGGTGCTGCATTGGGTAGCTAAGCAAGCTAATTTGGCTGAATGTTGTAAGTCCTCATTGGGAAGCAAGCAAATTGCAGATGCCTTTGGAGCATCAATGGTGGAGCCTTGGATGGCTGCTCACGGAGATCCGTCAAGGTTAGCATTCACTCCCTAGAAAGACATTATTTTGTTTCTTACTGGAAAAGAATAGTGAATAAGTGAATAACTAGTTTGTTAGGTTCATCATTTAAAATTTAAACTTGTGGAAATTCTGAAAATCTCCTAACAATAAAGGTTGGGAGTTGGGACGTGCGATCTTTCAGCATCTGTCGCACTTCATGATATTGCTTAAAGGACAGCTTCAAGAGCAGATGATTGTTGAGCACTCAAATATAAGGAACATTTTACTTAAAAATTTGGGCTCCATTTTTTATCATGTTAGCCGACCCCAATATCTTTTGGGATGGCTTGGATGTTGTTGGATAATTGTATGTGCTCGTTTGGTATGTAATTACTATGTATGTGCTCGTTTGGTATGTAATTACTAATAAGTTTAAAAGGCACTAGCAAAGGCGCTAGGCACACCCACGCGCCTTATCCCTCGCTTCTAGCCTCCGCCTCGGGCTTCGAGTAAAATGAATCAAAACGCCTCATGCTGCCGCGTGCCTTGTAAAATTAAGGTTCTGTAGTCTTCAATCATAAGCAATTGGAATACAAAAGTACATGTATAGGGTACATGGTATCCTTTAATGTGTGCTCATGTGGAGACTAAATCAGTAAAATAAACATATTTTGAATTAACAAAGAACTCTATATGTTCAACTTTCACCAAAATGCTAAGTTTGATAAATCACATGGTATCTTAAGAAGTGCGCAATTTTATGCTTGTGATTGATAATGAACCCCACTAAAGTGTATTAGTTAGTATTATACATATTAATATCATAAACTTCATCCGGTTCACAATGACACAATGAGGTGCAATTTTGGAGGATTTTACTGTAAACAATTAGTGTCGGACTTTCGGTTTATTACACCTAAGACAACATCTTATGCTATTTTCCGTTTTAACCCTTTTTATAAAACCAAGACAACATATTTAGGAGTATTTCAAGAGGGGTTAATGGGTTATATTGTCAAAAAATCATTTAATGATTCCTCAAGATGTGTCTTCTTTCCAAGTGACACCTACA